TTATAATATAATATGTAATTATATAATTAATTTTTATTTAAAAATTCACTTATAATATTATATTTATTTATTTAATAATAAATTATATTTATTTAATAATACATCATAATTATAAATTTATAATTTTACCTCACATTATAACTATAACATTATCAATTAAAAAAGAGCTAACATCCAAAGCTTAATCATGCATTTAGATTTGGGCAATACTTATTTGGGACAAGGAAGCTTTTCCCAAAAGAAACCAAACAAGATTTGGTAAATTACCCATCCAAAAATCATTTGGTGGGTCACTTCATTTCTTTTCAGAATAAAGATTTCAAGCTATGTTAATCTTCTATTATAAGTTGCATTGCAATGTTAAAATAAAGGGGAACCAACAATATTCTATTAGAAGTTCAACTGCAACTGTATCCATTATCGTTTCAGTGAGTAAGCTTCATGCATTGGCATGTTATGAGAGATCAGTAGCCGTAACCTGATCACAAATGAAAACAAAAAAAAAAGCAATAGGTCAACCAAAGTTAAATTTCAATGTTAAAACCATAGAAGTCGAGGTCAGAGGCAAAAGGCAAGAACCTGAATTGTCCATGGGGTTTCCAGCGGGTACAGGCAGGGACGAAGCCAGAAATTGAAGTTAGGGGGAGCGAGGGGAAAGATTAAAATTTTTTTTGAGTTATGTATTAGTTCACATTAACACAATTTAAATTATTTTTATATTAATTGCTTGCTTTATGCATGTATCACTTATTTATATATGTAAAACTTTAAATAATTACATATATTTAGTTTATCAAGAAAATTAAATATATTTAGTTATTTTTGAATGATACATACTTTAAAATTCTTAAATAAATAGTATGAAAATATGCTCTTGGTCCGTTAGGTCGAGTGGCTCTTGCCATCTTGTTAAGGTGCAATTCCCCTTCCCCCCTTGGAGCTAAATTCAAGCCTCTATGATACCTTGTTAAAAAAATATATCAAAATATAATTTATTTTTTTTAAATGGCTACTTATATCAAAACTTTAAATTTGAAATATATAATTTATATGAATAGAATAAATTTAACATTATTTTCGTAGTATATAAATTGTACAAAAAAGTTATACATCACTAATGTAAAAACTTATATTGATTGATTCTATTCAAATGAAGACTTATCAATGGTTAAGCATCAGAGGGAAAGAATGGAATTTCTCAATGTCTAATTAGATTTTAAATCCAAAAGAATGTGTGAGCAGTAAATGACCAAAGTGAGGTTCCTCCCTTCACATATGTATTATTTGTCTAGGAATTCTCTTGAGGTTGAGGTCATCAACCATGTAAAAGGGTTTGAGTACCCCTTGTACTCAATTAATAAATTTGCTTTTCAAAAAAAAAAAAAGCAAAAACTTATATAAATTATATTACTGTAATTAATTAAATTTTGATTAACACTTTTTCTTACCTAGACCAAATTATCATATCTTAAAAATTAATCATAAGGAGAGAAATAATTCCTTTACCTAAATCCTAATTTTTTTTTTTATTTGAAATGGTCCCAATAATTTAAAACCTCAAAAAACAAAATTTTGTAGAAAATAAAAATTAATGTACCATATTTGAAAATTTTCAAAACCTTAGGGGGGGCAGCTGCCCCCCCTTGTCCTACATTGGCTCCGTCCCTGGGTACAGGATCAGGTTCCTTGATGTCCACAACCACAGCATCGGATGTAGGGAATGTCCTCGCAGCAGAAGCTGCATGCTCCAAGCAACATCTTACCACCTACATCACAGAAAAAGCCAACTTGACGGTACGTAATCTTTCTCATATAGTTTTCTATGGGAAAGTACAAGTGTAGCTTAGCACCGGTTTGATATAACAGTTTAAAAATAACAGTTAATAGTTTTATTCAAACAGTTAAAAACAGATATTTAATAAATTTATTTATTTTAAAATTACTATAGACTAAATATTTGGTGAAATTTTTTATTTAACAATTTGAAATTAGTGGAGAGTGATTAGGGTTCCACCCCTTAGCAAATTGAAAAAAACTTTTTGTACCAAACCAATAGCAAATTGAAATTTTTTAATTTTATTGATAAATTTATCTTTTTTAATTTTTTAATTTTTGGTCACGATTTTTAATTAATTCTTATTTAATTAGTTTCAACTTTTATTTTTTGTCTTTAATAATATTAAATAATTATTATATTTTTATTTTTACATTAATTTATCATAAAAAATATGTTAACTTAAACTTAATAAACAATATTTACTAATTAGACAAAAAAATAAAATATTTTTGTACCTTATTTAAAACTAATATTTTTTTATTAAAAATAAAAATTAAGATATGATTACACTATTATTTATTTATTTATTTTTATTATTATAAAATTAATAATTTTAATAATAAAAAAATACACTTAATTACTTTTAAACATGACCTTATTAATCATTTAATTTTAAATAATCGTTAACTATTGTATAATTAAACAATTATATTAATGAAATCTACTATATATTATCTTAATGAAATCTACTATCTATTATTTACTACTCACTTTTCGCTATCCACTATTTGCAATTCACTAACAGATTCACTGCCCGTTACTTGCCACCATTATCCGTTACCCACTGTTCATTGAATTTTAACTACCATACCAAACAGGCCTTTAAACTGTATGTTGGTTATATTGTTTGACATTTATGCAAGCAGTGCATAAGCAAAATCTACCGGAATGACAAAATTTAATAACAGTTTCAAGAAACATCAATAGAGTTCATAATCAAATATGCTTAAAAGTAGTGTCAATAAAGGTGCTAACCAGAGTGTTACCAGGGAGAGGAATATGGATGTTTTACAGTGACAGGGATCACTAACATATTAAATATAATTAACAGTGATAAATGCAATAATTGGGAACTAGTTAGAATCATTGAAAAATTATGAATAGAGGGGCAGTATTGGAATATTGGAAGCCAGATTACTAACTAATAAGACAATGGTACATATTCTGTTTACCTAAATTATTCTAGTGTTGGTTATGGATGATGTGTAGCTTGAATGCTAGTGCAACTTATGGTTAGAAACTTACTTTTGTGGGATCAATAATTCCAGCTGCCATCAAATCCTCATATTTTCCAGTTGCAGCGTTATAACCATACTTGGGATTGTCATTGGACAGCACCTGGTGGCCAAAAAGATAAATGGATAATGATCAGAGTACCAATTCCTCTCAAATTAAATGCAAGCCTACATTTCTGATCAGGGTTGCATACATTTTCAATCACAATACTTGCATTGACCCCTGCATTTGGCAAAAACCTATTCTTAACCCTTTATCTTGTTAAGTTTGTAGGTTTTAACCCTTCACCTGATATTATGACACTTTTAACCCCTTACCTATTAAAATTAAAAAAAATAACTCTCACTTTATAATATTTCGCTAGTTCTGTTAGCTGACTGTTAATTCTGTTAGTTAACTGTTAACTCTGTTGGCTAAAAGTAGGTTTTACCAACTAACAATTAACTAATTGAGTTAACAGTCAGTTAACAAAACTATTCTGTTAACTGACTGTTAATTCTATTAGATGAAAGAAGATTTTTGTTAACTAACAATCAGTTAACAGAGTTAACAATCAGTTAATAGAACTAACAAAATATTATGAGTGAGTGCTACTTTCTTTAATTCTAATAAATAAGGGGCTAAAAGTGTCATAGTATAAAGTGAGAGGCTAAAACTTACAAATCTAATAAAGTGAAGGATTAAAAATAAGCTTTTCCCCTGCATTCTTGGCAATTAAGTTCCTTAGGTAGCTCAATGCCCTTTTAACAACATCTGCTCCGACCTATCAAGAGTTATTAGAAGGTCAGGTAAACATTTATTTGAAGAGTATAAAAAAGTCTACAATCCTTAATTGACAACAGCGAATATATGACCTTCTGATCATCATTCTCAAGGGTGTTTTTTATAGCATCAACTTTAGCTGCAAGTAGCAATAAAGTACAGCCTCCACCAACTACAATACCTTCCACAACAGCTGACTGAAAAAAAAAAAAAATGAAATCTTTGTATCAGTAAAAAATTTTGGAATACAGGTTCCAGAATGGACACAAGGCAGACGGCACAAGCATTAAAGTTGGAATTGAACCTTAGTTGCATTAAGAGCATCCTCTACTCTCAATTTCTTTTCTTTAAGTTCGGTTTCTGTTTGTGCTCCAACCTAGAAGAATAAAGCAAAAAAATAAGACGATGAAAGAAGATATTAAATGATATAAATTAAGTAATCAGCAAGACCACCATCATTTTATCAAAACAAACCGGGGATTACCTGAATGATTGCAACACCACCTGAAAGTTTTACAATTCTTTCGTTGAGCTTCTCTTTCTCATGGTCCTGCTCTGCTGCCTGCATATGTAATGCATGCATCACTAAACAGTAACATGTGGTATAGAGAGTTCAGATACATATTAAAAAAGTAATAATAATTAATAATAACTAGAAGTACCTCAACAAGCTTCTTGATCTAGGCAACTCTCTTATTTACTGCTTCTTGGGTGCTCCCATTACCAACAATGGTAGTTGTCTCCTTGGTTAGCACTACTTTGGCTGCATGCCCCGATACCTTGTTGAATAGTTTGTAAATGTTTGAGATCCCACATCAATAAAGTATAGGAATTTAAAAGAGTTTATAAATGCCTATTCTTTATCAACAAATAATTAAATAAAGTGAAATCCAAAGGAAATTAGGCCTTGGTCCTTTATATATAATCAAAAGATAAGCACTTGGGGCTTGACTGCCATAACATCTTTAATTTTTTATTATTTTCAGATTTTTTTATTTTATTTTATTAAATTATAATTTGGAAAGATATGTCTGAAAATCAAATATAACTATTGGCAATCAAAAAGTACCTCTATGAAATGGTGTCTTTTGGAGAGATACATCCCTTCAAATAGTGACTTTTCAGGCATTATAAATTCCTATGCAATGACAGAGTTATACATCTAATTCTAAGAGAGTTTTGAGTTCTGTTGTATCTTGAAGAATTTTAAATCCCCAAAGAAAGTGAGATTACACCTCAGAACAATTCTTTTATTCTTTTGTTATTTAATATTTCTTAACAATCTTAAGGATTTAAAATACGTTATGGCTCTTCCTATGAATGCCAACATCAAGTTGCTAAATCCAGATGCAATTAGATTGGATAGGTTCAATGGCACCAACTACATGCGTTGGAAGGATAAGATGACTTTTCTACTAACAACACTGAAGGTGTCATACGTTCTTGATCCAAAACTGCAACTTATCCAAGCACCAAAGGAAAACGATTCTGAAGCAGTGAAGAATGCAAGACTGAAGCGTGAAGAAGATGAACTCATATGTCGTGGACATATTTTGAATTCTCTCACTGATAGACTTTATGATATGTATCGCAACATGTCTTCTCCTCAAGAAATTTGGATTGCTCTGGAAAAAAAATGCAAGCATGAAAAGAAAGGTACGAACAAGTTTATTACACTTAAATATTTTGAGTATGAAATGAAAGATGACATTTCCATCATGGATCAAGTGCATGAATTACAAATTTTGGTATCAAGAATGTCAAAGTCGGAGATAAAGATTCCAGATTCACTTCAAGTGGGGGCAATACTTTCAAAACCTCCTCCATCTTAGAATGATTATAGGAAAAAGGTTCTGCATTCCGATGAAATTCTGACTACGGAACAATTTCAAACACATCTCCAGATTGAGGCAGAAAATTGTTCAAGAGATGCAATATTGGCACCCTTGAAAGTTAATTATGTGAGTCAAAATTCTGCCAAGCCTTTCCAGAATAAACTCAAGCCTTTTAAGAAAAACATTGCTTTCAAGAAAGCTTCTTTCAAGAAAGCTTCCTTCAAGAAAAGTCAGCCTTGTTACCATTGTGGTAAGAAAGGTCACTTCATTAAAGATTGCAAATTCAGGAATAATGCAAGCAACTTTGGTTTTGGCACCAGTGCAGAAACAAGCAACAAGGCAAATTTGATTGAGCATGAATTGGTTACTATGGTTTATGATATGAAAGTCGGGATGTTGACTGAATTGAACATGGCAAATCCAACCAAGTCTATGGATTGGTGGCTAGATTCTGGTGCAACAGCTCATGTGTGCAATAACAAAGCACAATTCAAGTTTTATGAAGATTTGAAGGAACCAGAGGAAGTACTTATGGGAAATAATGTCACTGCAAAAGTTATAGGCAAAGGCACAATGGAATTAAGGTTCAATTTGGGCCACAAATTGACCTTGGTTAATGTTTTCCATGTCATTTTGTGTGCACTCCACAAATTTTCTGCTCTTTTCTTACATTTAGTTCCAAACCACACAGGGCATAAAGCGTTAAACTTTTCTCTACATGCTACAACATACCCATATAAAGAAAAACCCATGAACCGTACACGGGCACTTGACCATGTTCAAATTTAGTTTCCACTATTTATTAAGTAAAGCGACATGGAACATAAGATTAAGAAATTTCTTCTCCTCTTCTTTTCCCAGCATTCTTTCTCAGCATTAAGGAAATTAACACAGTGTACAAGAGAAACACCAAAGACAGTTACTGGAAACTAGGAAAGTTCACCTGAAATCTGCCGTCGAAATGTCATGGGGTTTTAAAAGGGTTTTTGAGGATAAGACTGAGGAAAAGTAATGTTCTTGTATATATTATTATAAAGAATTCAAGTACATATATATA